GGTTTTATCGAAGGCTGATTTCTGGGGAAATGACCTTTGTACACCCCACCCCCATGTTGGACCAAATGCAGCTGCTTGGAGTGTTGTCTGGCTAAGGAAACCCAGGCGGACCTTTCTGAGAATGGGGTGGAAGGCTGGCAGTGCACAGGAAGGTGTGTCTGGCAGCAGCTAATCCCGTTTCTGTCCCCACCATGACCACTGTGATGGTGTTGAGGGCCGGGATCCTCTGCGATGGCAGGTCGTGGTGATTCTGCTGTGAGGGGTTTAACCTGCGGGGCATGGGCGGTCTCACATGGGGACAGTTAGTTGGTGATCAGCTCAGATTTGGGAGCGGGAGACCTCTGTGAGTCACTTGATGTCACTCTGTTTTGGCATCAGACCAAGTTTGTACTCCTGGTTAGCTGTCATGCAGTTTTTATCCTCTGAGAGTGGCCTGTTTTCCTCAGGCAGAAATAAACACACCAAGAGACCTGTGTGTTACTATCACTGTTGTAGGATTTAGACCAAGAAAGATGGAGATAAAACTTCTGGTGGTATCATTTGCCTCTTGAATCCATTTCAAAACATGGAGTAATAATATACTTGCCCATCAAGTGATTGTGATGATTTTAAACAATGCTTATCCCCAATGCCTTCACATGATACCTGTTCCATAAATACTGGCTTCCTTTTATTCTTTCCACCTAAAGTATGGGAGCTTAACATGTTACTGGATGCATGAAGAAAAGGATGGGTGGGCTGAGGCTGGCAAATGGAGAATCTGTTTCTTACAGCAGCAGAGAAGCCTCAGATACCTGCTGCCCCAGCACGCACTCTTGGTTCAGTACGGCATATGTCCTGTCTAGTGGCGGATCATGTGTTGGGGGCTGGCTTAACTGCTTTAGAATTCTGCTCAGGTGTCACTCCTTCTGAGTAAGCTTTTCATATTACACATGGATTAGCTATTTCCTTCTCTGTTTCTGTACGGTACTCCTATTTCATTAAATTATAAATATGTATACAACATACATAGTGCTTCTGTATGGGTGGCATCTCTTGCAGGTCAGTCAGGGCTAATACATCTCACCAACTCCAGGCTTTGCCTACCTAGGGCCTGGCTGCCACATCCCAGGCAATAGGTGAAAAAATATCAGTGAATTTATCAGTTATGGCTGGGATCCTCTCTCTCTCTCTCTCTCTCTCTCTCTCTCTCTCTCTCTCTCTCTCTCTCAATCATCTATTTGTCACTTATCTATTATCTATCTATACATATCACCTATCTACATATATTGTCTATATATCATCTGTGTCTATCATCTATCTCTATGTATCAACTATGTTTACTTATCAATATCTATTATTATTTATATATCTATCATGTCATCCATCTATCATATCTACCTCTGCCTTCTATCATCAATTGGTATCATCAGTGTATCTCTGTTTATCATCTATAATGGAATAGGAATAGTGCATGAGAACTTTGACCAATAGAGTATTGTGGGTGAATGAATTAATGCATGTGGAATTTGTGGAATAAAGCCTCGCCCATAAGAAATGTTCAGTAAGTGTTAGCTACCATCATATATAAGGCCTGTATTTTCACAGCTCTGGTGTTGATCAGATACCTCTTTCCATCTCTTACTGGTTGTATATCCTTGGCTAGGTTGATAATTTGAATCTATTTCCTCATTTTCAGAGTGGTAATAATAATGATATCATGGAAAGGAATTAATGAAGTGGTGCGTGGAAAATGCTAGTGCATCCTCAGGGAGTGTTGTTGCTGTTGTTTTATGGTGCTTTTTCCAATAGAAGAGTGAAGGAAGGAGCCAGGCTGGAGGGCATGTCCAACCAGCAGCTCATGCTGGGCCACAGTGAGAGAACAGGAATTGTCTTGGGCCACATATAAAATATGTAACATAGCTAACTCATATAAATAACAAGACTTCCTCTTTAAAAACATTATTATACCCTAGGTGTACCCATCTCCTAGGCTGCAGGATGGACACACCTACTCAAGGTAAGAAGTAAACTGGTCTCTATTGCCATCATCCTGTGTGTATCCCACCACTGGACGCTGGTGTCTTCCTTGTTTCCTAACTTGTCTTTCTCCGCCTGACAAGAAAATATAGATGTGTGTCCAAGTTCAGCTCTTTGAATCACCTATTTTTAAATGTCAGGAACCAAATGCTACCTTAGGAAGATTTTAACAAAAGCTCAGGAACGTATGCTTCCCAATTTCCGTATCAGGTGACATTCTCTGCTTGTAACCTGACGGTACTCACAGGACAAAGCAGGGCAGGATCCTTAGAACCAAACCAACTGGTGAAAGGCAGGAAATCAGCTTCCAAATAGAGGGTCACCAGGAAAGGTTGGCTTCTGGGTACTGCTAACTAAGAAGCCATACTGAGACTCAAGGAGCTTTGGAGTGTAAAATTCCATCTCAACATTAGGTGGGGAGCTGGCAAGTGGGGAATATGGTGGTTACTGGCACTTGAGGTCTATTTCCAGTGCCTTCCTTCTCTGACCTTGTCTTGCTGTGCACCTTGGGGCCTCCTTTGTGTGGGTAAAGGAGAGGATGGCTGCTCTTGTTCTGATCCATCTGGCAAATCCCAGGCCCTGGTCTCAAGTAGCTCTTCTATGTGCTGAGGCCACTCTGACTAGTGCAAGGCCCTTTATTTGGAGTCCACAGATAGACCACAGAGGGCTGTGGAGCCCTTAAACAATGACTAAAATTGTTCTATTTGTGTTTTGGGGAGCATTGTTGAATCTAATATGTAAAGAGCCATGGAGACTCTGATGGCTCCCAAGGCATAAACCTTCTGTCGTTCTGGTTACTCAGAGTCCCAAAGCTTGATAAACATGTTCCTGGTGGTTTACAACATGACTGGGGTACACCGATACATGTTTGTTACATGAATGTTATGTGTTTGATGTTAGAAAAAATACTGGCAGGTGACATTGCGTAAATATTTCCTTGAGCAGGCTGCCTTGCTTGAAGGAAATGTGAATTATATACATGTTCAGTGAACGCAGTTGTGCAAGGGTGAGTTGGTGCTTAATTTAAGACACAATGATTTGCACCGCCCCCCCACCCCGCCCCAAATCTGGTACAGTCAGAGGAGCTGAGTCCCAGAGAAGGGAAAGAGGCCACAGAGGAAGAGGATGGTAAACTTAGGAGCGCGACCCTGCGGTCCTTCTACCTATCACAATTCTCTCTGACTTTCTCAGGTCTCCTCTGAGAATGTTGTCTCTGTTCAGCGAGTTCCCACCTGGGCCCCTGAGATGCTTTTAGAGGAGCAGCTTTCATCCCAGGGAAATGAGAAACACTCAGGAAGTCGCATCTCATCCTCATGCCCCTCCGTGTGGAGATTCACTCATTCATGTTTTACTGTTCTTGCAGTTGGGCTGCACCTTACAAAGCTGTTTTTTCTTGGGTAGCGATTTCCTTGCCACAAACTAATACTACATGGATAGTTGTTTAGAAGTGAGATAATATGATTCTTTCATTATTTTTCTCCTCCAAAAAAAAATGGCATTGAAAATGTGGACTTCTAATAAATTCACAAACTGAAAGAGAAATTTTCTTTAAGTAAAAAACCCTTAACTCAAGCTGCTTCCTATCTACTAGACAGAAGTTAGAGAAAATGAATCAGCAAGGCAGATTTGGAGACATTAACTCAGACCCAGCTTTCTGGACAGCATCCATAGGCTTCCTCCCCAAACTTACACACCTTTTAAATTCCTGTAGGGCCCATCCCAGCGGTGCTCCAGGCAGAACCTTCTAGAAGAAGCTTTCTAGAGGTTTTAAGTTTGGATCTTCAACTGGGGGTGTGGTGGGGAGGATGAACCAGATTTATTTTAAGTGGACTTCACTCACTCTGATATCAAACTTCTTTTTCCATATCTCCACTTTTTGGAGGGAGAGAATGCTCAAGACTATTTTTCCAGTTATGTAGTAAGCTTATAGTGGGCAGAGATGCTTGAGTAGACTTTACAAATCAACATCTTTACTGGGCACTTTTGTTCTAGGTACAGGGGAGACTGATGGGTTGTCACTTCTGGTTACCAAAACCGGGAGGAGGGGAAGGGGCATCTCAGGAGACACACCTAAGAAGAACAGGGTCGCCTTTCCCAGAGCCAGGGGCTGCCACCGCTTTCAACTGACTGCTTCCTTTAGAACCCCTGGCACTGAGTAACCAGGAGGTGGCCTTTAGAAGTCAATGGAAGAAAGAAGCTGGAAAACGTTGAAGGGAAAAGCCAATGGACGTGTAAATAGAGGATTCTATGGAGCCATTTAAAAGGACAAAAAGCAAGAGTACAAAGCAGCAGATGGAATCTGGCCCCGCATAGCCTTGCCAAGTAGACTCTGAGGGGCCCTGTGTAGAAAGCATTCTCTTTATGTCCCCCGAAGCATTCATGATGTACCCTGGTTGAATTCTCAGGCTGTTTCTATGGCACTTATGAAAACTGAGTGTAGTAGGGTTCATGTGTCCCTTCTCTTCCCAGCCTATGTCCTCTTCTCCGCCTCCTGCAATAAATCTCTGGCTCGAATGAAATTGTGAAAAAGAAAATGGGAAAGAAAAGTGGTGATGGAGCGGGAGAGGAGCTACTGGCTTGTTCTGATGTTTCACAAGACAGAAATTCTCTAAGAGTAAACAGTGTTTATTTTTTTTGTTGATTTTTCAATCAAATGGAATCGCTTAATTAAAAAAAAAAACTTATCTTTCTCCTTAAATACTACAGACAACCTCATTTTACCGCAGCAGACACCTAGAAACAAAACACTGGACCCACCAGAGAAAACTGGGCAATAAAAGCATCAGAAATTCAAGTCAACTATGGGAGAATTACTGTTAGCCGGCAGCTCTCAATTCTAAACAAAGTGGCCCAAGCCTATGGGTTGGACAAAAGTTTCTTAGAACTGGGGAGGTGGGAAAGTTGGACTCCTTTTTAACCCTATTCCAATTATTTTATGCATAGGGAAATTAAAGTCAATGCATCAAATGAAGACCCAAAGAAACATTTAAAAACTCGTTTGACTAATGTTCAGTATGTGAGATTAAGTAATAACTTGTCCTCCTAGTTAACCTTGTCCTGGAATATATATAGGTTATTTGTAGCCGCCACTGCTATAATATTTTCTGAAGGATGCCAAGCTGTATGCAAGATCTTTTTGCTAAAGTCCAGACTGTCAACACTGATCTCGTCTTTTCTCCGCTTGCCCCCCACGCACACTTTTCGGGGTTTGAGGATAGCCCGGGGTTTGCTGTTTTCCCTCGAGGCCTCAAGGGTCACGTCGCGCTTGGTGTTTCGGTCGAACATCCTGAAGAAGTTGTTGTAGGACCCCGTCATGATGACACTGCAAGGTAGAGACAAGATAAGGAGTGACTGACTGTGAGAGAGAAAGGCAGTGACTTATCCCCACTGTGTCTTTCTGAAGCAAATGACCCACAGCCTGGCCATCTTATGGCATGACAGGCTTATTTAAATGAAAAAACAAAACCTGTTCTTATACTTTGACCGCTGACTTTCTTTTAAATTACTAAAAGCAACAAATCCTTTGGCTAGGTTTGGAAAAAAAGATGGTGATAACCCTTCTTGTTCTTCACTTTTGTCCAGTCATTTTCTTTTTTTTTTTTTTTTTTTTTTGGTTTTTCTCCGGTACCAGGAACCGAACTCATGACCTTGTGCTTGCCAGGCAGGTGCTTTTGCCGCTGAGCTAAATCCCCAGCCCCTGTCCAGTCATTTTCTCTTGGTTCTTTGGTTTACTGAGTCCATTTGTAACCATCCTTCCCTTACTGTCACACATCCAGAAAGCATGATGTGTGTGGGGGATCCCCGGGCTGCCCAACCTCTAGGGCTTTGTTGCCTCAGCCTGGTGGGAAATGTGCCAAGAGCTGGCACAGTGGCCGCGGGCAGTCTCTTCCACCCTAAGAATAGCTCTAAATCCAGCCTTTGCAGTAGGCTTGTCTACAAAATGAATGTCATAGTCTTAACTCAGGAAGAGCATGAACAAAGTGAAATTTTAAAAGGATTCACAATCATAAAGTAAGATTTTGCAATAAATGGTCAGATGGCGGCTGCATTTTTTTACCAAGTGTTCATTCTCCAGAGATATACAGTTAGTGAGGAGAGTACTGAGTCCCTAAAGCCCTTTAGTAGTGTGGTACTAAATCTTTAATAGAGACATTCCAGGCAGGGTGACAGAGGCAGTCCTTGGGTGCCATAGCTGCCCATCTCTTCAGATCTCTCTACGGCCGCACCCCCTGAGAGTGTGGGCAGCTTGAGAAGGGAAGTCCAGTCTCACATGATTTTTTCATGATTCAGGCTGTGTAAAGAAGGGGCAGCAAAATGATAACCCTGGGCCACAGCAAAGGGACACAGTTTAAGAGGTACTTGGTTAAATGTGTACGTTAATCAGGGGTTAGGTTTTGTTACTCTGGCCCAGGAAAGAGATGTTGCAAACCGAATCCCTGTGCTGGAGCAAACTTACTACTTTGTCAGACGGGTGCTGGGGGCTTTGCCTCTGCGATCTCATTTTAACTCCCATTACCCCAGGGCAGGGCTTTCCAGGGAAATGCCAGGAATCTGCACAGTCGCAGGGCTAGTAAGTGACCGAGGCGGGCCTCAGAGCACAGGCAACAGACAGCAAACCATGAACATTCAGGCACTTGGTCTCACTGCCTTTCGGGCACTGCGCTTTGCTTCCCCTACCATGGATTGACTTCCTTTTCAACAAGCCAAAGAGGTTTTTTTCCCCCACTAAAGAAAATGTCTCTAATTTAAAAGCACTAAAACCAGAATTTCCTACTTGTGATATTAAGGGAAAAAATTTAGGAGTCAAATTCAAAACTTCTTTACTTTTGTGTTTATAACTTACTAGTTTGAGGTTGGGTAGGTTATGCTTTATCTCACTAAATCTCAGCTTTTCCTCAACTGCAAAATGGGGATGAGAAAAACAATGCCAATGGTTTGGGTTTGGGCTGAAATATAAGGACATGTGTGGTGGTGCCTGGCACATAGTAGATATTTCATAAGTGTTGTTTTGAAATTCTAGCCTAAAATAGAAGAGAAATTTGAGCAATGATCACCAAAATATAATAATAACTATCAGCCAAGCATGGTTGTTTGTGCCTGTAAGACAGGAGGACCATAAGTTTGACCAACTTAGTGTGAGCCTGTCTCAAAAAAAAGTACAACAAGGGCTGGAGATGTAGCTCAGAGTAAAGGCCCTGGGTTCAATCACTAGTACAAATAAATTCTGTTAGCCATACATAAAAATAACAGGGCTGGTTTCTTTTCCTGTTAGAGCTTTGTTCTTGCTTTGCTCTCTGTCCTATACCAACTCGGGAGTATGACTTGGGACTTTTAGTATGTGGTGATCCCTTCAATCCTGCTATCCAGGTGGTTCATTTGGGTCCATAGTGGAAGGAGAAAAGCCCTCAAATTGTCAAGAAAGCATGTGTTCACACAAAGCTCAAACATCTTGCCACAAAAAAACAAAAAACAAAAAACAACCAAATTTGTGAGCTACCAAACACTGTTAGTTTTACTACCTGCATCAAGGAATTAAATCAGCCCTAATAGCCTAGTTCTGTGGAAGCCAGAGAATCATCTGTATTTGTCAGACTGAAAATGAACTATAGGGAGGCATTATGAAGTATTGTTGAAATCAAAGGCCTTAAAACAGTAATAAATCACTTTGAGGGAATGTGATAAATGAGGTTGAGTAGAATTCAACTAATGAACCACTGGGGCCTTTGGTCAGGTCTGTCTGCACTAAGAGCTTTGAGGGATAAGTTTTGATCTAGAAAGCTCACTTTGCAGTTATGGAAACTGTTCAGGTTGGAGTTTGCTGGTGGGTTATCAGCGGTCTTCATTAGGCAATGGTGACCCTGCCAGTCCTGAAAGGGAACCAGGATCTTGTGACACCCTTCCCTTCTTTGTATGCCTGACCTCAGGCTCCATCCAGTGACACACAATACATCCTAGCCAGACCTGGTCTTGACCTCCCTTTGGCTGTAACCTCCTCAGGAAAAATTGTCCAGAGCCTCCTCAAGGTGAGAGTCTCTATGTGGAAGGTTCCTCAGCCTCAGAACCTTTCTTACCTGTCGGATCCATTCCACACACACTCAAATTTATCAAAAATGCAGTCATTTTCATAGAGGGAGCACAACTTGCTGCGGAGGTAGTCATGGACCTGGAAGGAAACATGGAGAAGGGCAGTCATCATCTATAAAGTGAGTGTTCCTGCCGGTGCCTCTTCCTCTGCCATGAGCTGTTCCTCTCTGTGTACCTGAGCCTTGAATTGGATGGATCCGTATGCAGGACTGGCCCTTCCTAAACCTTAGGATGGGTAGATGAGCTGCTCCAGTAGCCAGTGTGGATTAAACCACCTTGGTTACTGGCATAGCACAGGGCCCAATAAGGGGCAGAGTCCCACTTTTCTAAGCTGACTTGTTCTTAGGCATTTAGAGACACTATGATCCAGGCTTTTATGCAGTGAACATTTACTCAGTGTCTGCTGTGTGGTTGGGTATTTGCAGTGAGGCAAATACCATTGAGATGCCTCCACTCCAACACTGCGAGAGAGATAGTATAACCACGTTAATGCATAATGTGTCTTAGGTTGTACTGAGATTACGGAACATAAAGGTATGGAAAAGGGGATTGGGAGATCTGGGGGTACTATTTTGTGGAGAGTAAGATGTCAAGTCTTCACCTGATAAAGTACCATAGGGGAGCAGAAGTTTGCTAGGAATGAGTGAGCCACAGTGATATCTTGGGGAAAAGCTTTCCAAGCCTGGGGGCAGCATACCCAAAGGCCCAGAGGTGGGAGTCCTGGAGGGAGTATGGTGGAGGGGTAGTAAGTAAGTAGATGACCAGTTCACACAGGCCCTCTATCTTGAGGAGGGGGAAGAGACCTGTAGGAAGTATCACTGTTTGCTGTACCAGGATACACTGTAAGAGGGAAAGGACAAGGGCAGGGAGACCGATGAGACCAGTTATTACCTGGCTGACAGATGGGAAAAGCTATGGTAGGAAGTACTCAAATTCTAGTTGTGGTGAGAGGGAAAGCTGACAGGAATTGGGTTAACTTGGAGGTGCAAAGAGAAAACCAGCAATCAGAGATGGCACTGGGATCTTTCTCCTGAGAAAGTAGAAGGTGGAAATGCTCTGTTCATTCCTGAATATGATTACTTGGACCTGTCTCAGCAAGTAGCTGCTGAGCAGATGCTATGAGGAAAGGTGCAGCCTGGAGGATATGGTGGTTCTCTTCTGTTTCCTTTTCCCAGTGGCAGAAGCGGCAAGGTTACACCTGGAGAGTGGGCATGCGCACAGCATGGGTGGGGGGAACAGGGTGGGCGCGCTTGGGGGACATGAATTTCAGAGGAGACTGGGCAGCACCACTGGGTCCTTTCCTCCAGCAACTCTCAGTAACTCAGGTACAGAAACAAATAGGCAGATGAATAAGGCTTAGAGGGTAGTGTATACGGGGTTTCACTTTTTGAGAGCAACGTTTCCTGAACTTGCTAATAAAAAGTGGTGATAATCATGGGTATTGGCAATATGCTAGCTGGTTACTAATGGCCCAGTACTTTATTTATATGACCTTATTTCATCTCTCAAACCATTTTTTTTGGATATGGGTATCATCATTCCCTTTAATGGAGCATGGAGTACAGGGATGGAAAACGATTTGTCTAAAATCGCACAGGAGAATGAACCCAGTATTCAGGTTCTGAAGTGCTACTGTCGCTCCAGCTCATTAGCCTCACCTTAGCCAGGGTCTCGTCTCAGACAGGAGCCATGACAGTGAGCACAAGCGAGGTCAAGAGAAGGAGGGACGGAAGGGGGAGAAGGCTGAGGGATACTGCCGAGATGGTGTTTAGCTTTGTTCGGAATAAGAGTGATAGTTCACTCTCCTTTTCCCTGCAAACTGACCCCAGGAACTCTGCTGGATCCTGAGCCAGGAGGCCCTGCTGTGTGCTTAGTACTAGCAGAGGAATGAGGTCAGATTCATCCTACGTTCCATGGGAGGTTTAGGAGTATTTGAACACTCTGAGTTATTTGGCCAGGGTAAATAGTTCTAACTCTACAAATTAATTTTCCTCACCTTTGGTCTCACTCTCAAACAGTTTTAGGTAATTGCTGCCATGTTAGGGTAGCAAGAGGATCCACCAGGTAGAGCTTTTGGCACTGGGATCGTTGAGGGCTGATCCCTGTCCTCCCAGAGGTTTTTCTGCTGTAAATGAACTCACTGACCTTCCCTGGGGCAGAGCAGTGAAAGTTTACAAACACTTCAGTGCTGCGCTCTTTAACACCTTGCTCCATCTGCCCTCTTCCTTAGGAGCCTTTCTTGATCTCTCACCATCCACCTCCGGCATTTTGCCTTACAGAAACACCACAGGTGAGTATAAGTGTGGGAATGTGTGTGCCATGCAAGGGTGGGTATATCACAGGGAACCATGTTGCAGAGAACTCTTTAAAATCTCAAGAGGCAAAAATTGGGGAGGATTCAAGGGAAAAAATCTGAACCATTATTTTTTCTTCCTAGCACTTAATGTTTAGGAAGCTCCTACCTATTTCCAATGGAGAGCATTTTAAGAAAAAGAACATCTAGCTACAAAGGTATACTGCATTTATGTTCTATTAAAAAAAATCTAAGACAAACCAGAGGAACTTTCTCCACCAGAAGAGAGAATCAGACAGGCATAGAGAAACAGCTAAAGCATGGAGCAAGAGAGCTTTAATCTCATTCTAAGTGTTCCAACTATTCTTTTTATTTCCTGTGATGCAGTGCTATTACGTTGTGTGTGGGCTTCTATCGGTGGGCTGAGTCCCCCACCAGTTCTGAAGCTATTTGTGTGGGAGCCTCCTATGTAGCTAATGGACTTCTCGTTAGGCTTAGTAAGGAAGTCTGCTAATGGTTTGTTTTTAAATTTCAGGTGTTGAGAAATGGCTCCAGAAAAGGGCTGGATCAGTGGTAGCAAACCCATGGTACATGTGCTGCAGCAGGATTTTTATATTGTTGAAAGCTCTAAAAGGTTCACCATCTCTGGACTAGATATAAACAGCATCCCTTAGCCAAAATGTTCAGGATCAGAAGTGTTTTAGATTTAGCTCATTATGGATGTGTAACTATTCCTATCTTGAGAGGGTCCTTAAGTCTCATATGAAATTCACTTGTGTTTCAAGGTGTATGCACCTTAGAAATGGCCTGAAGTTAATTTTTTATTTTAATTTTGTGCATGAAACAAAGTGTGTGGTACAGGAAGTTGTACGTGGAATTTTCCACTTGTATATCATATTGGTGTTTAAGAAGTTCTGGAATTCAGAGTATTTTGGATTTCAGGATTTTGGATGAGGGATGCTCAATCTATAATAAATATTTTTAGGCTTTGTGAGCCATCCAGTCTCTGTCACAACTACTGAACTCTGCCAATGTGGCATGCAGCAGCCATAGACTTTGTAAGTGGTTGCGTGTAGCTGGTGTAGCAAACACTATTTACAAAATGGACGTGGGGGACCTGGATTTGTCCTAGAAGCTGCAATTTGCCAACCTCTGTTCTCCAGAAAAAATTGACAGTAACCAAGTCTATAGCTTCTTGTTATAGAAGCATGCCTAAGGACTGTTCATGCAGGTAGACACATGCACAGCAGGTGTAGTACCACTCTTCCTGCTCAGGCTTTCCCCCATTAGATTGCACAATATTTTCCAACACTGTTGTAGGTGCCGGCTGAATCAGACTCTACCACTTTTATACAGTATAGTATCATCTTTCATACAGTCTATAAACTTGAGACGTACCATTCTATGTTAAAACCTTTTGGTATTTCATTTTGGTACATGTGCTCTGATACCTGTTCCCTACTGTTCTACAAAGTAGGTGATTTCCAAATCTGCTACCAGCTGAACATGGGATTCAGAACCAGAAACTTAAAATGCTTTTTACATCATGTCACAGCTAGCCAGCTGTGTTCTAAAAACTAGCCTTGTTCTAAAAACTTTTCCTTAAAATAAAAGCACTAATTGCTCTTGCCATGATGTGTCCTTTTAAAAAAATTTTTTTTTGCCATGGTGTGGCCTAAATCTGTTCTTTCTGCCAGAAGGCTGCACCTCCGCGAACACCACCTGCACCAGGTTCTAGGTCCCCTTACCCCTCTTTTGTCCTGGGCCTGTAACACTGTACGTTTGTCTTCCACAGCTGGAAGAGAGCACTAGGTCAGTCCTGTCCTTGGGCTAAAAAATGAAAGTGTGGGGCTGGTGATGTAGAGTGGAAGTCTGGGCAGGATTCAGTTGACAGTAGGACTCTAGTTTACAGAGTTGCTCCTTGAACCACAGGATAACAACAGTGTCTTAACTACACACTGGGTCTTGAATCCCGGCTCCCAGCCTCATCTGCATTGCCTCTGAGATGATAGCTCATCTCCAATGTCTTTAGGGTCCTCATTCTTATCCTTCTCCCTTCTCTGACTAAACTCTGACTTCTCCTGTGGCCTCTCCTGGGTGGCTCGATCTTTGCTCTCACTCCTTGGGTCAAGATGGGGTAGGCAGCTCTTTGCTGCTCCTGAAAATTGTTCTTATTTCAGTCTTCAGCTCCTCTAAAGTCACACATTCAAACTGAACTTCCTGCTACCCATCCTCCTAGTCATGGAAAGTTCTCTGAGTCTGTAGTGACACAACTCTATGACCTCCATCTCTCTTCCATCACCATTCCTACCACGATGCTTGTGACTCAAGTACCCTGGTCTCAGCATATTCAGTGACTTCGGTCCTCTGCTTCCTTACTTATGGAATAACTCATCACTATAACTGCATCTCCTGAGCAAGTCTCACTCTGTTGCTACTTCCTATCTTTTTAGTTTATTCCCCCCAGTATTTTGATTCTGTCACTAATTCAAATCTATTAACCGGACTACTTTCTCCTGTCCATAATTTGCATTATAGCTACCTCAGATTGTGATTATAATGATGGATTTCTCACTCTTTTAGCACACATCTTTAGCCAACTTCCCATTCTATTTCCTTCCATTGTACTCACTTGGTAAACCTCAGCTCTGGTTGCATCTAACTTTGTGCCTTTACTTTACCTGTACCAGGCAAATGTGGCTGGGCAGAAACACAGCCATCAGATTAGAGTCTTTACATCAACAGTATAAACCCCATGGGGATCCTTGAGCAACCCTGTAATAGTTCCCTCATCTTCCTTCTTATTCAACTGATGATCTTGCTTATTTTACTGAGCAAACAGGAACAGTAAGAGCACCTCATGTTCCTGTCACAAAATTTGTAACCTACTGCACCAGGAGCTACATATACTACTTCCTTTCCTTTGAGAGATGAATTACCCATCTTCCCATGCAATGAATCACATCCCTTGGTTTTCTCAAGAACCCCGTTTTTAGTGTCTGTCTCTCTTTACTGCCTTATTCCTATGAGCCCACAACATGCTATGACTTCCTTTAGTTTGTATCCCATTCCAGTGACTACCCTGCTTGTTTTCATTCAAACCAAAATTTGCTGAAAGAGCTCTGTCCTCTATGTTCCATCCTCTCTCAGTCTCTTGAACCTACTCCAATCTGGTAAGTGTTTCCCATACTCCACATACTTTTCCATTACGATTACTGGTAATCTCCATATTACTCAAACACTGAATTCTCAGTCCTTTTGTTCGTAACTTTGCACCAGCATTTGCTGTTGGGTGATTTCTTCCACCCCAACACATATCTTTCTTTTGGCTTCTTGGATATCCCTCTCAGTTTTCCTCGTACCTCACTGGCCACTTTGGAGCTCCAATCTTTCTTGCTAAATCCTCTTCCCAGTCTCAGTTTGTAAACACTGGGGTCCTAGGGCACAGTTCTTGATCTCTTCTGTAATATTCTCATTGTCCAGGGACCTCTTTGAGTCATCAGGCTTTAAGGGCCTCTATGTACTCATGAGTATCAAATTTATATCTTGAGGCTAGAGAGAGTCAGGCTCATGTTGGTCTATCTATGTGGCATCTCTGTGTGAATGTTTAGTTGGCTTGACATGTCAAAAACCAAACTCTTGTTTCCTTATCTAAATAAAATGGCAGCTCCACTTTCCTCATTATTCAAGATTAAAACCTTGGGATGACCTTGGCACCTCTTTTCCTTTTGCATCACACATCAAATGTCCTCAGAGCCTAATGGTTTTACCATTGAAATATACCAAGAATCTGGTCACCTCCACTGTTAATACCCTCATCTAGGCTACTGTCATCCTTTTCTATTTTTGAAGTGGGAGGTACTGGGAATCGAACTCAGAACCTTCTGCTTGCCAGGCAGGTGCTTGTGCCACTGAGCTATCTCCCAGACCCTCCTTTTCTAGAATATTTTAAAACTATTATTCCTATCTCCTCAGGTCTCTTCTATGGCTCCCTTGATCCCCCTGGCACAGTGAATGATTTAAAAATTTAAAAAAATTTTAGTGATGAAAATGTTCTGAAATTAATGGTAATGGTTCTACAACTTTGTGATTTACTAAAACCCATGGTACTGCACACTTCATAAAGATGAATATTACGATATATGAAATATATCTCAAGGGAACAAATAAGTCACCTCTCACTGCCTAGAACCTCCCTATCCCCCTTCTCCTATCTAATGTAAGATCTTAAAATAGGACCAGTGTATCTCTGTCCCTTGATCTCTGCATCCATTTTATTCTTACCTGGAATCAGCTCCTTTAGATCCTCTCTACCTCAAAGTCTGGCCTTTCTCTTTCAACTAAACCATTCTAAAACAATGCCTTTTCCTTGTTCCCCTTTATCACGACTTCTAATACCATTTACCCAGTGCTTAGGCCACACCCGCCATGCAGTGCTCTTGGCTCCTCTTCCCTCCATATTCAACACGTAGCCACCCCCGCTCCTTCTCCCTACAGATCATCATTCCAGCCTGAATCGCCACAATCTCCTCGCTTTCAGCCTATCTGTCAAACTTTTAAAGTGCAGCACACAAAAACCTCAACGCCATTTCTATAGGTAAAACCCTCTAATGGGTCCCCACTGTTTGTATCCAGCAAAACGGCAACATAACCGACATCACCAGAGTCTGCATCACCAGCCTCATCTTCTGCCCTTATGCTCCATGTTCAAGGTAACCTTTCTGAGTACACCTCACTTCTCTCTTATTGTTTTAAGAACGTGCTTTCTCTGACTAGGTCATGGCCTGAACACTTGGCTAACAAGTCCTTTCTTCACTTTTCTCACTGGGCTAGCCCCTCCGTGTTCCCATAGAGCCAGTACCATTCCTTGCAGAACTGCACACTCAATTCCTGCTTCATCATCCAGCTTCATCAGAGGTTAGCCCCAGAAAGCAGAGCCATGCTTGTCTTGCTTACTCAATACTATGTTATCATTCCATGTCTTCAGTCTCTATGGTGAATTCCAGCTTCTCTGTGAATATACCCTTATCTCATATCCAATGGCACTCACAGCCTGTACCATCTTATTGAATATGCACTGCCTTTTATTCTGCTGCATTGTAAACTTTTGCAAGCAGAAGCAATACTACAAGCACACAAAGGGAGTACCACCTGGGATGGGTGGCATTGTGTACCTGGTAAGTCTCAATGGGGCGGTTTTCCATGTTGAGATCCCAGACTTTCACGGTCAGATAGTCTCTGGTCATAATATACCTCCCACTGTGGCTGAACTTCACATCCGAAATCGAAGAGATAATTTCAGAGAAAAATGATCTGTTGCTTGGATCTTCTGGCTCTTCAAAAACTGCAAAACAAAAGCAAAACAAGATGAACTTTTCACATCTTCAGCAGTGGGCTCTACTATGTTTGGGCTGGCCAGAAAACTAACAGTAGAATCTGATGCAGTAGGGCTGGCTGGTGTCTGCAGACTGTAAGCAACTTGCTAGCAGAGACCATCAGCTCCCTGGAGGCAGAAAGAGTTGTGGCTAGTGTCACAATCCTTTCTTTTTGGATGGATCACATGGGACCAACCCATGCGCAGAACTGGCACTGGCTTTTTTCAAGCTGCTGGTCTATATACCTGTTTTACATTTCTTCTGGTCTCCAGTATTACTTCATAACCATAAACTTGGAGTCATCTTGGATGTTTAAATATTTTATGTAGGTTTACTCATATATAAGTCAAATACAACAAAATATACTCCTTAAGTGTATAGTTCACTGGCTTTTTATTACCACATATTCATGCAGCCATCATCACAATCTAACTTCAGAATATTTTCACCAATCACCCCCCAAACCCCTCCATAAGAATTGGCAGTTATGCTACATTCTGTGCTTATGCCATCCCAGCAAACGTGAAATCTACTTTCTAGTTCTTCTTCGAGAAATTTCACATAAATGTCAATCATTTATGTCTGGCCATTGTGGTCAACTGTGCCTAGCTTCTTTCATTTAGCATAATATTTTCAAGTAGCATCCACATATCTGTATTTTATTCTTTTCATGGCTGGATAATATTCCATTACATGGATCTACCATGTTTTGTTTATGCATTTATCAGTTGATGAATATTTGTGTTACTTCCACTGTTTAGATGTTATGTATATTGTTGCTATGAATCTTCATGTACAGTTTTTGATGGACATATGTTTTCATTTCTCTTGGCTATTGGTATTTCATGTAGAACTCTGCTCCTCAACTACCTTGACTTGAAGGTCAAGATTGTATTTACTTGTTGTGTGGCCTTGGCCAAGGTATTTCTCTGTGACCTAGATGTCCTTATGGTTAAAGTGGGTGCAGTGTCTTCTGTGGAAATTGTTTACTTGATCTGATGTCCAAGCTCTCACTGTCTTTCTCCCTAGTTCCAAATTTCCACTTACAGGATGAAGGGCATGGCTCCTCAGTGTGGTATGGAAGCCCATCACAAGCTGCATCTAACTTTTTTCAGCTCTGATTTAGGTTGGGAGTATAGAACATATCTTGATCATTCCCATTTCTGTATGCTGTCTGATTATTCCTCCTTCATTGATCCAAGTTCTCCTCAATTTCCATACCTCATCTACTGCATGTATTTCACCCCAAATCTTTTCTCTGAAGCCCTAGCATACGTGGTCAGGCCACTTATTTTGAATTTGCTTAGGTACAGGTAATATCTTATTTCTCACATGATTATTTACCAGCTTAAGTTTTTCTTATGTCTTCAATAGAAAGTGAGACTCTTGATGGCAGGATTTTGTTTTACTTATCTTTGTACAGAGAATCTTATACCCAAATGTTCAATAAACATCTGTTGCTTGATTGGAACCAAAGCCAGATAAATTAAAGAGTTCTCTGCCTTCTGGAATTTTAGCATGGATTAGGTTGAAACATATGCATGTGCTAGTATTTGATTATTTTTGACCTATAAAAAGGGCAACTGCATATGGTTCAACCTACTAAAGGTTTATATCATAATTTTAGGCTGAACTAAATGTTGCCCCGTGGGCTGCTGTGTTAATTTAGACTCCAAGGCTTCTCTGGAACCTGTTACATGCATTGTCGGTAATCAATGGCTTGTAGAAATCCTAAGTTCCCTTTCAAGTCATGCCGCACTAAACCATAGGCCGAAGCAATGATAATTTTCACAGAACCACTTAAGAAAGCAAAACAAAACAAATCCCTGATCAATCAAAAATGAGCCTGAGAATTAAAAAAAAAAAACTCATTTAGACAAAAAGAAGGGCTTAGTAGAGTTTCTGACCCAATGTTTGAGTCTTTGCCATAATTTCCTGGGATTTATCAAGCATTAGTGACGGCCTCTGGCTTCTGATTTGTTCTTGGTAGCTGAGAACCTAGAAAAGAAAACTTTCACTGGAGTTTCACCTCAGCAAGAGTCCTGGGGACTGGAACCCTCCGAGTAAAACCGCCTGGTGGTAAAGGGGAAGAGCCCCAAGGCTGGGCCACCTCTTCGTGGCCTCCACTTGCAGAGACAGCAGGAGGCTGGGCCAAGGAAGGCTTGGCACGCCATGCTCTGGAGCCAGTCAGCTCCGCTCCCAGCACTGACTGGCTTGCGCACTGTGTTTACTGCTCTAGCTTCAGTTTTCCCTGCTGCAAAGCAGGGATTCACTTGGCACATTAGCATGGTACACAGCGGGTCCTTGATAACTTCTAGCCACCACTTTAATTGTTCACATGGACCGCTTCCATATTGGTGATCCATAGTTCGTCCACCAAAACCCTTGAGAATGGACCAAGGAGCACAGAGCCCAAGGGTTGTTTAAAAGACATAAAGTATATTAACAAAGAGATCCTTTACAAGGGTTTTTGTGTTTAGTTCAAATTTGGTTTTAAATCGACAAAATTGTGTCTGCCTATGTACCTTTCGGTTTTGTACATAGGAATCTGTTTCCCAAATACTTGGCATATTGGGAAGTCAGCGTAACAACACTGTAAAGTCTCAGAATGATTCCCCAACAAGGAGGAGGCGAAATGAAAGAGATGCTCTTTCATCGCCTCCACCCCTTGTGCAGTGTTGCTTGGCACAGGACCAAGGGCAGGATCTGGGGAACTTACACAGTACTTTGCAGTACTTTGCAGCTTAGTACTTTGCAGCTTATGGCACAGTACTTTGCAGCTTATGGCCTTTTTGTGAATATTACAGTCCTAATGTCAACTACATGAATTCTTTTCATTCTTTCATCAGCATTTAATAGTGTCCATAATTACTGTCAATGTGAAGCCTTGTAATATTCTTGGTCCTGTGATTTGCACATTTTATCTCATTTAATCCTTGCAGCAGCCTCTAAAGTAGGAACAATGATTCCTTGTTTTACATCTATGGGACATTAAGGCACAGAGAGATTTTGTAACCTGTCCAGGGATACACAGCAAGTCTTTGTTCTTAATCACGAAGCAGTCTACCTTGTACTAGGCGCAAGACCTTGTTGAGCAATCATTTTTCAGTTAAGGGTTTATGTGTGTGTGTGTGTGTGTGTGTGTGTGTGCGCACACATGCATGTGCACACACCACAGTATATATATATCACTTAGAGCAGGGGTGACAAGCCTATGGCATGCATGCCACAGCAGGCTGTGTGTTATCATTGAAAGCTCTGAAAGCTTTGCCATACCTGACCTAGAGCATACAAATAAAAAGTATTTGTGGGATGGATGCATGCCAGGCTTTGTACCAAATGCCAAAGACATAATAATGAACAAGACAGATCCAGTCCTACACTTAAGGAACTCACAGGTTAGGAGGACATAAATGTTAAATAATCACCCACATTTAGGTAGAGCTGTGAATAAGTGAAATTTATTTAAGTGTTACTGGATGGAAAGAAAGATGCTGGCAAACTGGCTGGTGGAATAAATGTGCTACATTAGTATGCATTCCACGAAATTTACTTCTCAAACCTGTTCCAGCAGCTGAGATGCTGAACATGTGCTTCAACAGTGTGTAGGGCAGGCATTTCTTCTGGAGACCCTTGGTTTAGCATTAGAGATCTTCCTGACTTCTAGGGTTTCCAAGTACCTTCCAGAAAATAAAGACCTCACAGAAGAAAAGAAAGGAACTGTAGGGGAGAGAAGACAAGCTTTGCACTGTGAGAAAGCAGTCTCAATAAGAACGTGACAGTCAGATCTATGGACTACCGATATGTCACATCCATCAACAGAAAGTATGTCTTGGAGATATTAATAGTAACAGTAACAGTGACACTTGCTACCATGTCTTGATCCTTAAGTTTTGCATGTGTTATCCCATTTAATGCTGAAATTTATGGGGGTATTACCACTGCTGCCATTTACATATAAGGAGACAAACCAGCAAGGTTGAATAGTCTGTTAGCGTCACACAGGAGCCAGTGGTAAAGACTGGCTTTTGCCTTTGCCTGCCTACCTGTTACACTGCCTGTATAACTAGGCCTTTCCCTGCTCTGTCAGTATTGATGCTCTCTGTTCAGACAGTCAAGTTGAAGTGGAATCCCTCGTGTCCTAGATGTACTTGGTGTATGCTCTCTTCCATGCCTCTGCTCCACCTCACCTCTTCCTATGCCTATTGTGGGGTGCTAGATTAGAATTCGGGCTGGACACAAATTAGCTAGCTCTTAATACCTATCTATTCAAATCTTATATAGCATATGGTATTGATTCATTCAGCACTCATAGTGTTACTCCTTCCTCTTCTCCATGAATTAATCTAAACAACTAACCCAGGTGCAACTGATGGCTAGTACTAACAGAGCCAGGATTTGCACCCAGTCTGATTCCAGCCTATGTTCTTCAGCTTGGTCCTTCTGTCCCTCATCTCAGTCATTCTGGGATGCTATCACCAATCTCAGTCTGCTTCCTTCTCTATACTGTGAATTCCACCTGCTGACCAGCTCCATCCCAGCTCTGAGATGATAAAACCTGTGAAATTCCAGTGGTTTTTCCTGTTCCTTCCCCTGATCCCTGTTACTCCAGGGCAGCCTTTCCAACATGGCTTCAGGATGCTCAACCCACTATATGTCATATACTGTAGATTCTGAGGCCAAATGAATTTGGGAATCTCCCTGTCCCAAGTCCTGGGGGTTGATGGTGCAGATTGTTGAGTGGATTATGGTATTTTAAGGAACATATCTTAACTCTACCCTAGCTTGTCTTGTTCCTCTTCCACCTCATTTGCCTGGTTGTAGCAACAGAAAAAAAAAAAAAAGATTCTAGGTATTGCTAAATGTCCCCTGGGGGACATGACTGTCTCTGGTGTGGAACCTCTCCTTTATCTTACTTCAAAATTTTATTTGATCATATCTATTGCTCCACTCCATTTTATTTCTGACA